CCCAACCCTATATAAAGACTCCTAAGGCTCATGAATTCGTCTAACCCTTCCCAAGAAGTCCTAAGGACGAATTCCTAACTCTCTCCTCTCTCTTTATACCTTCTCCACTTGCTTATGGTGTTTGTAAGCCATTAGAGGAGTGACACTTGTGACTCTAAGCCTTCCAAAGTCAATTCAAGGAGGATTATGATTGTTATTGCTATATAACAATCAAGGTATTTATATGTTAATATCGATTTCCATATGCTAGAATTAGGGTTTATAGTCTTGGATTCAAAGCATGTACAATAGAGAAACCTAGATCCAAGCATTAGGGTTTGTATGAGCACATAGGATGTCTTATGACCAAAACCCATCAGATTGTCTCTGTGATATCATCTAGGTTTGCTACTACCTGATATGTTATATGCTAGCATGAAATGGCAAATGTGATAGTATTAAAGTTTGGTTGTTAGGACCGGAGGGTAGAAAGACACCCCAGATACGTCTGACAGTATGTGATGTTATGTTTATATGCTAGCATGATCTGTTATATGAGTTAGAGGTAGTAGGAGGGGAGCAGTCCCCGAGTTCGGTTGTTAGGACCGAAGGGTAGTTCAGACACCCCAGATATGTCTAATAATCTGTTATGTTGTGATATGTGATAGTAGTAGTAGTAGTAGTAGTAGTAGTAGTAGGGGGTGAAATAGTCCCCGAGGTTTGGTCGCTAGGACCGAAGGATAGTCAGCACCCCAAAATGACTTGACATGGGTAGTCAGCACCCCAGAATAGCTTGATGTGGGTAGTCAGCACCCCATAATGGCTTAACATGGGTAGGTCCGCACCCCAGAAAGGCCGTACCGGGTAGGTCGGGCACCCCAGAAATGCCTGGCAGTATGTATGTTATGTGATTGTGTGGTATGTGGTATGATGGGGGAACTCACTAAGCTTCGTGCTTACGAGTTTCAGTTTTGGTTTCAGGTACTTCGTGTTTAAAGGAAAGGAGTCGGCTTGATTGCAGCGCATCACACTATGGTTTTCCGCACACGAGATCTTTGGGATTACACTCTGATATTGTTTTATGATAACGTGTTTTGATTATTTCTACTTGGGTTTTGACATGACATGATATTATGGATGTTTTCTTATACTGTTGGTTTTATAATAAGGTGTTTAAAAATGAAAATTTTGACCTGTATTTTTGGGATGTTACAGGAGGAATAAGAGATCTTCTAATGGAAGAAGCTCACAAGACCATGTACTCGATTCATCCCGGCAGCACAAAAATGTATAGGGATCTGAAACCCTATTAATGGTGGTCGACAATGAAGCTTGATGTTGAGAAGTATGTGGCCAAGTGTGTGACATGTGCGAGAGTTAAGGCACAACATCCGAAACCATATAGGAGTTTAGAACCTTTACATGTACCCATGGGTAAGACATCACCATGGATTTTGTCACTAAACTGCCCAGAAAGAAGGAGGGTCACGACATGATTTGGGTGGTCGTTGATCGATTCACTAAGAGTGCACACTTCATAGCAGCTAACGAAAGATGGTCGATGGATAAGATCGCCAATGCTTACGTGAAGGAAGTAGTAAGACTTCACAGTGTTCCTTTAACGATAGTATCAGACCGTGATAGTCATTTCACATCAAGGTTTTGGAGAAGTCTACAAGAGGAATTGAGTACAAAATTGTGTTTAAGTACAACTTACCATCCGCAGACTGATGGTCAGAGCGAAAGAACAATCCAAACGTTGGAGGATATGCTAAGGGCATGTACCCTGAAATTTCAAGGTAACTGGGATGAACATTTGCCTCTGGTAGAGTTTTCCTACAACAATAGTTACCATTCGAGCATCAAGATGGCACCTTATCAAGCCTTATATGGACAAAAGTGTCGTATGTCGTCTTGTTGACTTGAAGCCGGTGAAAAGCAGTTTATGGGTCCCGAGATAGTCCATCAGACTGCTGAAAAGCTGAAAGTGATCAGGGAAAGGATGTTAGCAGCTCGGGATCGTCAAAAGAGCTATGCTGACAATAGGAGGCGACCGGTGACATTCGAAGTTTGGGATTCAGTTTTGCTCAAAGTCTCACCATGGAAGGGACTTATAAGATTTGGGAAACGAGGAAAGTTGAGTCCATGACTTATTGGACCGTTCAAAGTTCTTCAAAGGATTGGGAACCAAGCTTACAAGCTCAAATTACCTGAAGAACTAGATGGTATTCATAACATATTCCATGTGTGTTATTTGAGGAAGTTAACGGGAGAAGTTCCTGACATAATTCCGATTTCAGAGTTAAGGATGGATGAGAATAAGAGGCTAATCGAAGAGCCCGAGGCGATTGTTGACCGAAAGATGAAGAAGTTGCAACGCAAGATGGTCGACTTAGTACTTGTGCGATGGAAACATTCAAATGGGCCAAATCTCACCTGAAAAACGGAGAGTGACATGATGAGTCACTATCTGCATCTGTTTGCTGATGCATGATTCCAAGACGGAATCATCCTAAGGGGGAGAGAATTGTAACGCCCGTGTTTCGAGGCTAAGCATTGATGTGATGATGTAATAGTCTAGGTCAACCATTGTGACCCATTTTAAAGTAACATAGATGAATTACTTGAATATTACGTGAATTATGTGCTTCTGTGTGCTTATTACTTGTTTATAATAATATAATAAATAAAAAATAAAATGTTAGATAAACCCAATATCTATGAATAAAGTTGTAGTGCCCGTGACAAGGATTCCGGACATATAAAGAGCGTCGAAATCCGAGTTATAACGAAGAAGTTATGGTCTGTCGAAGTTTCACGACAGAACCGACACGGCACTGCGTGACATAAATAGTGAATTTACGATAAAGGACTATTTAGCCTTGGTGATCTAGACGAAAGTCGTAGTGTTCGTTAAACCGAGAGCGTGCGTAAAATGAACGCCCAAATATGACTTCGTATGAGGAAGTTATGATTTTTCTAAGTTTCGGATCAACAGGGCACAACCCGAAGTTTGAAATGTAGATCAAACGAATTTTAGCCGACGCGACTTAAATGAGAATTGAAGATCTCGTCAACAGTAGATCAACGGTAAAAAGACAGACGAAAATAGAGTCCATATGTAGAAGTTATGAGTTTTACACGAACGTTAAATAGTGTAATCTTCTCATACTATTAAATTTAAAATCGGTCGAGAATTAGTCGACAAAGTCTAAACAAAAGTCGTAGAGTATTGTCCCGCCTACGCGTGGATATAAAAAACGTTGAAAATGGAACTTGTACGTGAAAGCTATGAATTTTTGATGTTGGAGTGGGAAATCACGAAGGCTGTGCGAAGGGGTACGTCCAGCGTACCTTTGGATGCTTAGCGTTCGCACTACGCCCCGCGTACGAAGGAGGTACGCCCCACGTATTGGCTTTTTCCTCGGTCCACAACGAGCCACGTCGCCCCACCGAAGTCTCGCCACGTGTGTACGGATCAAGCATTACGCCGATCGTAGGTCCAAGGTACGCCCAACGTACCGAGGCCTCGCAAGCTATAATAGGAGGCCGGGGGCTGCCATATTTCTTCACCAATTTAGCACTCCTTTCTCTTTCTACTTTCTCTCACTACCTCCCTAACCCCCTACTAAGCCTAGGTAAACCTCCTAGCACTAGAAGAAGGCCTCGGAAAGCCCGAAGGCTCCGAGAAAAAGAGTTTTTCGGTCTGAAACTCTGCCTACACAGAGCCCGGGTTTCAAGCAAACTTCCCGGTTTTGTCAAAAAAGGTTATTTTTAGAAGCGAGGTGTTGTCCAAATCACTCCGTATCAGGTGAGTGTATAATCACTTTCATCTTACACATAAATATGAAGTATTTTATATAAAATATGTACTACGTGTGTATATATGTTATCTGTTTACCTGAGATATTTGTTGGATGAAAGATCTATACTTCTTTCTTTCAGATCTGAAACTTTTTCCTTCAGATCTACACTTCCTCATCTCAGATCTAAACTTTTTCTTCATATCTAAACTGTGTACTTTGAGATCTATGTTGGATGAAAGATCTGAACTTCTTTCTTTCAGATCTAAAACTTTTTCCTTCAGATCTACACTTCCTCATCTCAGATCTAAACTTTTGTTCAGATCTAGACTTTATACTTTGAGATCTATGTTGGATGAAAGATCTGAAATTCTTTCCTTCAGATCTGAACTTTTTCTCAGATCTAGACTGTATATGTATTTTATGCCTTGAAAGTTATGCTGAATAAAAGATGTAAGCTTTGATTTACAGATCTGGACCATGTATGTATTTTATATTTACGAATGTGTTGGGTAGATGAAATAGTTGGTGTGTGGTGAAATTAAATGATGAGAGGCCTCAATGTTGACGTTGTTCCAGTGATTTAGCGGAGTATGGATGACGACCATGGACTTTTCTAGGAAGTCCAGTGGAACGCTATAAGGCTCGCAACCTGTAAGTGTTTGTGAACGAAGTGTTCACCGGTGTACTCCATCCCCCCCATGGTTGCCTTACGGACATTTATGGCTGAGGAATCCCCTTAGCAGTAGTGTCCATCCCGATGAAATTCCGTAGGATAGGTCCCTTATGATAGATGCTTTAGGGACGTTAGGTGAGGATAACGGGAATGGGTAAATCGGGTTAAGGATTGTTGAAAATAGTAAACTTATTTATCGTGGGTTGAAAAACCTATATGATTACCAGGCTCCCCAGCCTGACCCACTCAGTTTCTTGTATTACAGGTAGTGGCAAAAGCATAGTTGGATGACTTGACGAGAGATTATGGATTTGAGGCCAGATTATGTTTTGTGGCCTAAGATGTTTATTTCTTTTTTTGGTGTATGCTTATGGTCTGTATCGATGATTGACATCCCGAGTTTTTGTAATGTAGTTGTAACACCCCGATTATTTTGTAATAAATAGACAAGGTTAAATAAACTAAATAAATAAATGAACCCCGAGATGAGAAATATATTTTATATTATTTTGTTCAAGCCCTAAGTCCAAAGTAATTAAAGGATGTTAGTTATGGGAGTTAATTGTAGTAAATCATGGAGTGTTGGGGGTTTAGTGTACATTTTGGAGCCACTTTGTAAAGATTTCCGAGGGCAAGGGCTAAAATGTAAGTTTTTGGAGTTAAATTGAAATCAAAATGGTGAGGAGGGGCTGAAGTTTGATTTTTGGATTGAAGTTTGGATGGACACGGGTTTAGACCCGGTACCACCCTTCCCTCTTGTCACCCTTTTGAGCAGTGGCCATATTTAAGCAATGCAAACCCAATTCAAACCCTAGCCCTAAATGATACTCTCCAGCCGGCAACCTCTAAGCACCGATCGCCATTTCCCTTACCCTACTTCAACTTGCAGCGCCGCCAGTGGGGACGTCGGGTGCATCGGAGGATCACCGTAGCTGCCGGAAACGATGTCAAGGGTAGGTTGCTGACTCTCTCAGATGTCCTCCTCCCTTTTCATTTGGTTCGCGTTAGGGTGGCTGCTTCAGCCTATAACCACCGCTGTAACGCAGGGATTGCAGTGTTGCCGTCATACGCCACCACCTCTACCCCTTTTCTCTTCGTGATGGCGGATGTTGATGTTGTTGTTAACAAAGACCGAGCAGGGACCATCTTTGGCCGTTGTTGCTGTTGCTGCTCACCCGCCGAGACTGCTAACCCTAGTCGCCACCCTCGTTGACGAAGACCGTTGAAGAAGATAGGTTGCTGCCGTCGTTAACTTTTTTGTCAAGAATGATGAAGGGTTGTCGGTGGGTGTCTATTTTCGTGTGTATGTGTTTACTGTAGTGTGTGTGTAGCTGTATTATTTTGTTAGAGTGTTTTTGCTTGGCCAGAAATAGTCGTTGCTGCCTCAAGCCACTGCCGGCCACACACTAGGGTGACGGTGTGTGTGTGATTAATTCAGTTTAGTGTGTGTATGTGTGGTTAATCGGGTTTTGGCATTGTAACTGTAGTTAGCTTTGATTAATGAAAAAAAAATAACCACCACCGTAAGGTGGTGGCCGCCGCCGTGAGCCGCCATTGACCACCACTACCCGAGGCGGTAGTGGGTGGTGTCCCGCTAGCAAACCCTAATGGGCTTAGAGATTGGTTTTGGGCCTATTGGGCCATGTTTGGGTGGAAGACCCTAATTATGAGTATTTGGGCATTGGACTTATTGGACCCACTTTTGGGCCATTGGGATTAGATTGTGAACTAAGCCTAAATTATTCCATGCCATTTATCTAGTAGAGTAAAGGACTTGATGAACTAAATCCTTAATGAGCTAATTGAGAAAATATTAATATTTGGGAATTTATCAGGACACACGAGAATTATTTAATAAGTGAAATCTTAAATAATAATCATTGGCAGAAATTAATCTAAGCAAATATGGGCTTAATGGATTAAGTCCTTAACAGATTAAGTCCCTAGTGGGTTAAGTAAGAAACACTTAACCCTAGTTATCATTTGATGTGAAACCCTAATTTCACTTGGGCTTTGTATTGGGCCATCCGAGAATAATCAAATGGACTAGAGTAATTAGTTGGGCTTTAGGGTAAGGCCCATACGAAGGATTGGGCCCAATTTGGAAAATTGGGCCATAGATGGGCCATAGTTAGGGCCTAGATGGTTGTATGATATTGGGCCCTAGAATGATACATGTTGGACCGGACTGATCAATTGGGCCATATGTTGGACTTTGATCCCTAGTTGACTTTGGGCCTATGGATTGGGCCATGGGCTTGGGTAAGCCAAGCTAGGGGTAATGTAGTAATTATCCAAAGCATGTATTTATAGTTATGTGTTAGAACCCAATTATTAATTGGGTGTTATTTGGTGTTGACAGTTCGGGAATCTGTCAACCAGCAGCTGGGGTGGAGTCTGCGGGACTTCAGCAGTATGGGATTGTGTCTACGGGACTTCAGCAGTGTGAGGTGAGTTTCCTTCCAGTAGGAACGGGTCTAAGGCCACAATGCCGGCCCGTTTAGTAGCAGTAGTTTCTGGACTTTGGTCCGATGCAGTTGTTAGTTTGTTTGATGCCTTCGTGGCTCAGACAGGATTTATGTGTTAAGTGTTATGGGCTACGGCCTGACGTAGTATGCAGTATATGAGTTTATGATCATGTGTGTTATGCTATTTGATATGTGTTTTTGCTATGCTATGCTATGCCTAGTCAGTTCCGGACTTCGGTCCGATGCAGTTAGTTCCGGACGTCGGTCCGATGCAGGGGACAAGGTCCCAGTCAGTTCCGGACTTTGGTCCGATGCAGTTAGTTCCGGACTTTGGTCCGATGCAGGGGACAAGGTCCCAGTCAGTTTCGGACTTTGGTCCGATGCAGTTAGTTCCGGACTGTGGTCCGATGCAGGGGACAAGGTCCCAGTCAGTTCCGGACTTCCGTCCGATGCAGTTTTCGGGCTTCGTCCCGATGCAGTGGGCAAGGCCCAATATGTGTTTATATGTTATTGTATGGTATGTGGTAGTTTGGGGGAGCTCACTAAGCTTCGTGCTTACAGTTTCAGTTTTGGTTTCAGGTACTCAGTTTTCAAAAGAGGAGCTCGGGAAAATTGCAGTGCACACACCATTTGTTCAGCCTGGGATGTTTTTACTCTGATATATTTGACAGTTGTTATAATATTCTGAGATACATTGCTTATGATTTCTATATGAGGTTTATTGACTATGGTTTTATCATTAAATTAAACGAAATTTTCAGACTGTGTTTTTGGGATGTTACAGTAATGAAAATACATTTATTTAAGAAATGTTTTGATAAATTTATATCATGTTTTGTATTGGGAACAAATTCCGCAACACTTTTTTTAGAAGTTATTCTGGTTTTTATTAAAAAGCATAAACGAAATCAATATTTTCTAACCGTAAAAATGGGGATGTCACAGGCGAATCCATCCCCGCCGATTTTCTGGAATGACCTTTAATGACCTACTCCGGATCCATCCCAACAATTGCCTGTAAAACAACCACCACTTTAGCCCATGAAACTACCACCATCGTCGTCCCTGAAACAACCACCATTGATCTGCACTTTTTTGTTGCTATGAACTTCCTTGAAACAATTGAACCTGGAAAACTTAAACCAAAAATCCCCAATCCAAATAAGAAAAAACGCTAAATCAAAAATCAGAAGAAACACTAAATTAAACTGATGCAGAATCAGACAAACATCAAATGAAAGCAAAATCGAACTTGAGAAAAAAAAATCTAACCATAATCCAGAAATCAAAATCGAACTGGATTAAGTAAGAAAAAACATGATAGAGTACATATAGGATGTTGGAGATAGCGTGTGGTTTTTTCCGACAGAGTAAATCTGATGATGATGGCGGAGATGCTAGCGACATCGACAGTGTTCCGACTTCAGGGGTTAGGGTTAGTTCACCGGAGTTGAGAGAGGGAAAGGAGAAGGTTTTTGGTTTATGATTTCTGTTCGTCGGAAATACCCAGAGCAGCGGCGGCGACGAGATATGATGTAGATATCACACACTGCCCGTTCCTCCGATGACCAAAATCTTGTTGATTTTCGTTGCCATTTGTTTTTTCTGGTGAAAATTGTTTCTCCGGTGAAGAGGAGGGTTTGATTGGTTTGCGTTTGCCAGAGATTTAGTGAATTTGCCGGAGTTGGGATGAAAGAATTGAAGACGGGAGAAAGGTCGAGGGAAGAACAAGGTTGAATGGGGCAAGGACGGAGGGACCCACATGTATTATTTATATCAATTCTTTGTTAATAAAATAATAAATTAATAAATAAATAAATAAATAAAAATTAAACTAAAAAAGAAATGGATAAGAGTTAGGGGGCGGATCCAAGAATTTTCCGAAGAAAATGACAATTGTCATGGAGAGAGTTTGACGAGAGACTTTTCTTTTAAAAGTCCGAATTTAAAAAAAAAAAAATTATTAGAGATAAAACTCGAAGATTACTCTGACTGACATGGACCATCCTTGTAATATTCCCTTTATAAAAAATTCTTTATTTGACGTGTTCAAATAGGTTTAAGAATTAAAAACTCGAACCCGTGGTCCAACTCCAAAGTGTATGGGTGCACATAAAAACCGATTCTTCAGCTTTTCCCGGCCCGGTCCAACACGGGTATTAACCTTCATGTCTTCGTCCACAAATCCTATCATACCGCCAAAACCGCACCAATTTCCTATTCCCATAAACCACCTATTAATTTGTCGACGCCAGGTTTCAAAAATCATGCCAGCAATGGCTTCGCAAGGCAAAATTGATCGGATCGAACTCGAGAACTTCAAATCTTACAAAGGTCACCAAGTCATCGGTCCTTTCTTTGATTTCACCGCGATTATTGGTCCCAACGGTTCTGGAAAGTCTAACCTCATGGATGCTATAAGCTTCGTGCTCGGTGTTCGAACCAGTCAACTCAGAGGCGGGCAGTTGAAGGACTTGATTTACGCTTTTGACGACCGGGAAAAGGAGCAAGGAGGTCGTAGGGCTTCTGTTAAGTTGGTTTATCGACTTGAAAACGGTACTGAACTCTTGTTTACTCGTATTATTACTACTGCCGGGGGAAGTGACTACATGATCGATGATAGGGTTGTGAAATCGGATGATTATAATGCCAGGTTGAAATCTCTTGGAATTCTCGTGAAGGCCAGAAATTTTCTGGTTTTTCAGGTTATTTGCTTTTAAGTTTAAATTCCTTGCTTATACGTTAATTAATGATGATACACGACTGTCCTTTCATGGTTAAAGTGAATATGTATTGTGTTAATAGGCTTTAAGTTAAGGCACTTCAAATGCAGGGTGATGTGGAGTCTATCGCATCTAAAACTCCTAAAGAACTTACGGTGCTTCTTGAGCAAATATGTGGGTCTGATGAAGATAAGAGACTGTATGAAGATCTGGAAGAAAAGAAAGGTGCAGCTGAGGAAAAGTCTACACTTGCTTATCAGAAGAAAAGGACAATTGTCATGGAGAGAAAGCAGAAGAAGGAGCACAAGGAAGAGGCCCAGAAACATATGCGTCTGCAACAAGAGTTGGTATGCCATTATGCATCCTAGGGTTTCACTATCCCCATGCATGCATGTATCTGTGTGTGTGTTTTGCATGTTAGATTTGAAATGAGTATTGCTCATATGTTTAATTACCTGTTTTTTTTTTGCAGAGATCTTTAAAGAAGGAACACTTGTTGTGGCAGTTATTTAACATAGAAAACGATATTGAGAAGGCCAATCAGGAGATTCAAGCTGAAAGTAGTAGACTTGAAGAAGTTGAGATTGAATTGGGTGGTTATGAGAATGAATCATGCAAAAACGAAAAGGAACAAGCTAAATATAGAAAAGAAATTGATAAACAAGAAAAGAAGCTTGCAGAGAAGAAAAATAAAATTGATAAATATGTTAGTTCTTAATTTTTCTATTTGCTCTGCATCCTTATATCAGTTGCTTACTATAGATGATATATATTCTCTGTTCAATAGCAACAGGAGCTTCTGAAGCCGAAGGAGGAGAAGTTTCGGTTGATTGCAAAACTTGAAAACACTGAGAAAGAGCTTGAGAAAAGGAAAGAAGAGAAGAAGAAACACATGGTTGAAATACAGAAGCTTCAGAATGACTTGGAGGACCTTACAAACCAACTCAATAACTTACAAACAAAAGCTCAATCTGAAAAAGGGAAGCAGCGACTTCACTTAACTGATCATCAGTGGGAGGCCT